TTGGCCATTATGTCTTGAAATAGTTTTCTGTCCCCTCCTGCCTCTGCTCTCCTTCAGGGACTCTAACTGTATATTTACTGCGCGACTTGAAGCTAGCTCACAGCTCACTGGTGCTCTTTTAAAGTTTTTGCATCCTGTTTTCTCTGTGTGTTTCATTTTATTTATTTTCTGTTTCTGTGCCTTCATGTTCACTAGTATTAGCAGCAGCCATGACTAATCTACTGTTAATCCATTCAGTGTATTTTCCATCTCTTATTATAATTTTCTACTCTTGAATTTTGATTTGGGTTTAATATGTTCCATGTCTCTACTTAACTGTTTAAACATATGGAGTACAATTATACTAGCTTTCTATATGCTTCTCTGCCAATTGTAATGTCTGTGTCAATTCTGGGTCAGTTTCACCTGATTATTATCTTCTTCATTGGCCATATTTTTCTTCCTCTTTGTATGTATAGTGGTCTTTGCTTGGGTTACCTTTGCATGACTGGATGCTAGATATTTTTATATTTTCCTGTAACTCCTCTGAGCTTTGTTATGGCACATAGTTAGGTTACTTGGAAAGAGTTCGATCCTTTCAGGTCAAAAGGATCCTCACTTTGTGATTTATTATAAGCTTGATTGGAACAGTGCTTGGTCTAGGGCTACTTATTTCCCCATGACTGAAGTGAAAACCTTTCTGAGTGTTCTGCCCATTGCCCTATGAATTAAGAGGTTTTTCAGTTTATCTGGTGGGACACTTTCCAGCTTTGAATGAGTGCTGAGCACTGTTCCTTCTAATCTTTTTAGATGGTATTTTTCTCTAGCCTTGGGTAGTTTCCCCACATACATATTCTAATGAGTTCTTTGCCAAATGCTTGAGGGTTACCCTTCTTCATATCTCCAGCATTCTTTTTCTGTACAGTTCTCTCCTCTTCAGTACTCTGTTCGACAAACTCTGCAGAGACAGAAGTCTATCTGTTATTATGTTTTGAAACTGCAGGTGTTGTGGTTGGCCAAACCAATAGAATAGGTTTAACAGTTTTATTCTTTGGAATAAGAAATCATTGAGAATAAGAAAGATTTTGTGATCAAATTTTGAAACTAAGTGAAAAGTAGAAATTGTTACTACTCTAATAATTCAACGAAGAACATTAACTTGAATAGAAACTTGTTCAGCAGTGATGATGCAGAGCTTGTTGAGAACACAGATTTCTGGGACTCACTTTAAAGATTCTGATTTAGTAGATGTCAGACCACATTTGGAAAGAAACTGCTCTACAGAGAGTCTGTCCCAGTTCCATAGGTAGCACAAATACAAAGAAAGTCAGGCATGGAGCTGGTAGAAGTAAAATATGGCTTTCATGATTTTGTTAATATTAGGAGAAATACAGGATACTTGAGCTCCTTTTTAATTTTTTTAAGGAAAAATTACAAGGGAAAAGCAGTAGAAAAGAGAGGGAATGAGGAAGATATAGGGAGAAATGAGGATAGTAGATAAAAGCTAGGGAAAAAAAAAAGATTAGACAGAAGCAAGGCCAGGTATTTTAAGGGAGAGAAAGAAGAGTAGACTCCAAAATGAATGTGATTAGGAGGTAAATTCTTTTTAGGTTATTATGAGTTTAGAGGAATTTAAACTTAAATTTTGACTTGAAATATTTGTGAGCTGATTAGTCAGGATTTAGGATTCCTGCCCCCCCCCCCGCCCCGCCCTTTTAATGTTTGGTTACAATGCTTCTACTCTGATTGGAATAGGTAGTGTTTAAATCTAAGGCACCATCACTTGCAAGATACACCAGTATTTTCCTCTAAGAGGGATAAAGTGCTGTCAGTTAAATATGCTTTTTTTTTTTTCAAACCATCTCTTTTTAAGATATATTCCAGTTTCAGAGGTGTTGGAAGGATGTGCCCTAAAATTGATGAAATACAGTATTTCCACTCCATTTATCTTTTTCTGATTTATTCTATTTTTTAATATTAGTCATCAAGAATGGCTCAAATCTCACCTCTGTCATGAATCCTGTGTAGATCCTTACAGTGAGATGTTTCAAGTTTCCTTTGAGCATGTTTCTTATGCCCCTTTCAGTTTTGAATATTCTTCTTAATGGAGAATCAAAAACAAAATAGGAGTTAAGTAGTTCTGCTTTCTCTGTATCATCTGCTAACATTATACCATCTGCCCCAAGCAGTAGGCCTAAACCTTCTTTCTTGTTCCTCTTGCTCTACATGTTTTTAAAATCTTTTTTATCGTTCTTAACATTTTTCACCAGCCTCCGCTCATTCTGCGCTCTTACATACATGGTTCTTCTCCTTTCACGTCACTCTTTTGTGTTCATCCTTATTCACATGTCTTTCTTTTCATTCCTTTTTTAAAATAACTATCTTAAAATTATGAACTTGCAGCACACCTTACCCAGTCATATTGGGTTTTTAAAGATGTCCCCCTTAACATTTTCCCTTCACCCATAGTAAGAGAATTCTTAAAGTCTGACACTGTATTTTTGGCTGGGGATGTAACATCTTAAAAATTCTATAGAAGAGGGAGAATATGTCACAGGCAAATGCTCATTAGCTGCAGAAACTTCTTAAAGCTTCTCCAAACTAATGTTACCTAAAGTACTTCTGTGAACCATGTAGCAAGTATGTAACCAAGCTTGTAACTGTAGTGGAGAAAAGAATAACGCAGCCAAGAGATGGTGTGTAGTGAACAATATTGTTCCAGGGCTTGAGAACTGGACCTAATCCTAATTCTGCCACTGTGTTTAACTGGACTCTGGTTTCCTTACTGTAAAATTGTAAGGTTGAATAGATCATCTTATAAGCCCCTTAGAGTTCTATGATTTTTACATATAAAATGCTTAATATCATATATCTTTAGTTTTTCCAGTTCACACTGGAATGGTAAGAGTGGGTATAAAAGAAATATAAAGTCATGATAGGATAGAGGCACAACTTTTTGATTCACGCACAAAATCTTTTTACAAGATGCTTTAGTGTAGCTAAACTGTCTTTTTTTTTTTCAAGATTGGCTTTAATTTTAATATAGTGCAATAGATACTTTAGATTGTATTAAGGTGCCCTGTAGCTAGGAATTATGTTTATAGTTTAATGGAAAGGTTGCTGACTTATAAGAATACCTGGATTTTAACCTCAGTTTTGCTGGTAGATAATTAAGTAAATCCTGCACAAATTTTGTTTATAGATTTCTCTGTGTGTAATAATGTGAAATGTAATTATATGGACTATATCACCTCACTGAAAGTAGGCACTTGAAACATTAAAGTAATCAATACTTTTTGTTCTGTCTACTGTGCAGGATTTGCATTCGTGTCTGTGAAAGTACATTAGGGGAAAATAATTTAAAATATATGAATAGAGATCTGCAATTTTAAAATAAGCATCATAATCTAGATCATTACAGTATCCTTGCCTGGGAAATTCCATGGACAGAGGAGCCTGGCAGGCTATATAGTCCATGGAGTTGCAAAGAGTCAGACACAATTGAGCTACTGAGCACACTTGCACAAATAGATCATTCTTACAAGTTCTGTTTAATTGTAAAAGAAAAACTGGATTTTGTGTTTTCCAAGTATAGACCATTGAAAAAGATTAAAAGCTCCCTGGTTTATTTTATGAAGGTAGCACAGCCTGTTAGAGGGAGTTTAAACGTAGGGAAGTTAGTATAGAGACACACACTGGTCATGTATGCATCTGTGCACACATATACACATTCAAATACTCAACATGTACTAAAACTCCAAATAAAGTATTAGCAAATTGAATCCCACAGTGTATTAAAAAATTATATGTATTGACCAGGGAGGGTATATCTCAGAAATATTCAAATGGCTCTATACCATGAAATTTGCCCATAATTCATTATATCAACACATTAGAGAAAAATTTATGATTATGCCAATAGGTGATTTTTGAAAGAGAGAAAAGCATTTCATAAAAATCCAGCAACTTCACTTAGAAATTAAAATAAAACAGCGAGATAACACGTAGTACTGGCAGTATATGGGGAAATGGAAACTCAGACATTAGTGGTAGTGTGAATTATTATGCCTTTCAGGGAAAAACTGGTAATAGCTTTTGAAATAAAAATGCGTATTATCCTTTGAATAAGCAGTCTAACATTGGGGAATCATTCCTACTAAATATAGTATAATAGTATATACTAGAATACTAATATATACTGTTACTATTTATTAGGATTTATGTGCATGCATCCTCAGTCATGTCTGACTCTTTGTGACCCCATGGACTGTGCCTACCAGGCTCCTCCGTCCATGGGATTATCCCAGCAAGGATACTGGAGTGGGTATCCATTCTCTTCTTGAGGGGATCTTCCCGACACAGGGATCAAACTCATGTCTCCTGCGATCAGGATTTATAGTCTAGTACATTTGTTTCATAGTTTGTAATAGTTAAAAACTGGAAACAACATGAAAGACTGTTGATCACTGGAAGAGTGACTGAGTAAATTATATTATAGCAGTGCTATGGAATATGGTACAGTCATTGACCAGGAAGGATATCCATTATGATATTGTTAAGTTGGGGTGTGAAAGTTTGTCAGTTATAGATTATTCTGCATAATCTACAATTCATTTTTTGTGAAAAGAAGGTCTATATATGCTAATATTTGTATAAGCAGAGAGAAGTATGCAGAAGGACTGGGTTAAGAGAAGTGGTAGGCTTGATGAAGTGAGGAAATCATTGTTTTTCTTGATGTGTTTCTGCAGGGTTTCATTTTTTATGAAGAACATTTGTTACCTTTGTGATAATCACATTTAATGAAGGAAAAATGCTAAATTCAGAATATGAGGATGTGTGTTCTAAAGAATCTGGATTTGACCAGAGATATAAAAAATAGAAAAGTACTAATGCATACTATCTGCTGTAGAGAATACTTGTAATCATTTCCATTCAAAGCCATTATCACAGATTGGCTCTGAATTTAAAGATATTTTATATGAAGAGATGGTAGTTTTGACGATTTTTTTTTTCTTTTACAGCAACTCCGCTCCAATATCCGAGAAATGGAGAAGCTTTGCTTGAAAGTGCGAAAGGATGACCTAGGACTTCTGAAGAGAATGATAGATCCTGTTAAAGAAGAAGCATCAGCGGCAACAGCAGAATTTCTCCAGCTCCATCTGGAATCTGTAGAAGAACTTAAGAAACAATTTAATGATGAAGAAACTTTTTTACAGCCTTCTTTGACCAGATCCATGACTGTTGGTGGTAATGCACTAAGTCTTATTTTTGATCATAGTATTGTAATGCAGTTAATTAAGTTCACTTCCTTGCACTGATATTGTAGATTTGCAAACTATATATAAATCTCCAGGGATACCTCCTAGTTCAGTATGCTGAATCCTTGGACCCTGAGTGTGACTGGAAGTGCATGTCCTAAACATTTCATGTGTGTTAGTCGCTCAGTCGTGTCTGACTCTTTGTGACCCTGTAGGCTGTAGCTCATCAGGCTCCTCCGCCCATGGACTTCTTCAGACAAGAGTACTGGAGTGGGCTGTGATTCTCTTCTCCAAGATATTTTATGAGATTAAAAAATAGAGGCTATGCTGTATAGTGTGAAACATAAAGGCTTCAAGTACCTACTTGTTCATATATTAAAAATAAATTTTAAAATATTTCCTAAGGAGAATGTCATCCTGGTCTGCAGAGTATTTCTCCCTCATCTCCAGGTGCAGGGGCAGCCTAGCCAGGCATGCCTCTTTCTGAGGCATTCTAGTTTTCAGAGGGCATGTCAGATCTATCTCCCATAAAAATCTGCATTGGGGGGTCACACCATTAATTTTTATGAAGTGATACTCTAAGGAAGAGGCCAGTAAAACCTGTCATTATAGCGCCTCTAAGGATGTAATTGATAATTGTTGATTATATTAAACAATGTATGTATAAAGAAACCTGAAAAAAATTACTGGTTTAATTAGTAGCACTTCAAAGCAGTTAATCTTTTTTATTCTTATAGATACTGAATGGCATAACTAACAGAGTTTCTCTGCTTAAGTTGTTTACTAGAATGTAAAAGAAAGTGAAAGTCAAAAAAAAGGAAGAAAGTGAAAGTCGCTGTCATGTCTGACTCTTGGTGACCCCATGGACTGTAGCCTGCCAGGCTCCTCTGTCTGTGGAATTCTCCAGGCCAGAATACTGGAGTGAGTAGCTGTTCCCTTCTCCAAGGGATCTTCCTGACCCAGGGATCGAACCCAGGCCTCCCGCATTGCTGGCAGATTCTTTACTGACTGAGCCAGCAGGGAAACCCAAGAATACTGGAGTGGGTAGCCTGTCCCTCTCCAGTGGATCTTCCTGACCCAGGAATCAAATTGGAGTCTCCTGCATTGCAGGTGGATTCTTTATCAGCTGCACTACCAGGGAAGTTTACTAGTATACGTAAATATAAATTTTTTAACTGCCAAAAGCCTAAATTTTGAACTTTCCTGGCTTTATTTTGCCATTACTGCCCTTGTTTTTCCTTTGAATTTCTCTTTTTAATTTATGCATCCTATTATATTTTATACATGTTCTAAGCCACCTTAAAACTTTATGGAAAAGGTGGGGTATAAATAAATTGTTGTTCAGTTGCTAAGTAGTGTCCAACTCTTTGCAACCCCATGGACTGCAGCAGCCCAGGCTCCTCTGTCTTTCACTGTCTCCTGGAATTTGTTCAAATTGATGTCCATTGAGTCAGTGATGCTTTCTAACCATCTCATCCTCTGCCACCCCTTCTCCTTTTGTCTTCTGTCTTTCCCAGCATCAGGGTCTTTTCCAGTGAGTGGGGACTTTTCCATTGAGTTGGCTCTTTGCATCAGGTGGCCAAAGTATTGGATCTTCAACTTCAGCATCAGTCCTTCCAATGATATTCAGGGTTCATGTCCCTTAAGACTGACTGGTTTGATCTCCTTACAGTCCAAGAGTCTCTCAAGAGTCTTCTCTACCACCACAGTTCGAAAGCATCAATTCTTTGGTGCTCAGCCTTCTTTATGGTCCAACTCTCACATCTGTATATAACTACTGGAAAAAGTAATGTCACTGCTTTTTAATATGCTGTCTAGGTTTGTCATATATATGTATACACATATCTACATACATATACATATATATATATATGTTAGTCACTTAGTTGTGTCTCATTCTGCGACCACATGGACTGTGGTCTGCCAGTCTCCTCTGTCCATGGGATTCTCCAGGCAAGAATACTAGAGTGGGTTGCCATTCCCTTCTCCAGGGGAATGTTCCCAACCCAGGGATCGAACCCAGGTCTCCCACATAGCAGGCAGAATCTTTACCATCTGAGCCATCACGGAAGCCCCGGTTTGTCATAACTTTCCTTCTAAGGAGCAACAAGCATCATAATTTCATGGCTGTGGTTACCATTTGCAGTGATTTTTGAGCCCAAGAAAATAAAATCTGTCACTGCTTTCACTTTTCCCCGCTTCTATTTGCCAGGAAGTGATGGGACTGGATGCCATGATACTAGGTTTTCTGATGTTGAGTTTCCCAGGTGGCCCTAGTGGTAAAGAATCCACCTGCCAATGCAGGAGATGTAAGAGACGTGGGCTCAGATCCTGGGTTGGGAAGATCCTCTGCAGGAGGGCATGGCAACCCAATCCAGTATTCTTGCCTGGAGAATCCCATGGACAGAGGAGCCTGGTGGTCTACAGTCCATAGGGGTCACAGAGTTGGACATGACTGAAGCAACCTAACATGTACGCATGCCAGTATTCTTGCCAGGAGAATTTTATGGGCAGTGGAGCTTGGTGAGCTGCAATCCATGGTGCCGCAGAGCATCTGAGGACAACAGTAAATAAATTACAAATTAGAATGCAATCTGAGAGACGTTAATCTGACCCATTTTCCTCGTTTTATTGGCCCAGAAAGTGGGGGCTCCTGTGTCGCTCCAAAGCCTGATTGTTTGACACTGTGTTTTCAGTGCTGATGGTCCAATTTCACAGGATTGTTTAATGCTGTATTTTCTGCTAATGGTCCAATTTCACAGGGCTTTTTTCTTTTGTTTTAAATAGAAGAAACATTTAGGCCATCATCCAGAGTTTCTGGATAATCTTACTTTTATTGTCTCCTCAGTACCTCAGCATATAGTACATAGAACCTGGCACATAGTGGACCATTAATAAATGTGTTATAAGTATGGATGAATACAAATCTTTTTAGATACAATTTTGTAATTTCAGATGTGCTCTCGTCACTTCACTGTGTAGATAACCACTGCCTAACAACACGACCCAAAGTATTGTTTTGGGTAGAAAGAAATCTTAGCACTCAACCTTGGTTGAAGAGTATTTAGGAAGAATTCTTTTTACTGTTTATATCGATGTGTTCATATAGAATTATCACCTCCATAATGATGTCGCTAAATGCTGTTCTAACTGAAGTACAAAGCTATGCTTTCTGTTTATGTATAGAGAAACTGGGCCTTACAAGTTCCGTGAGATTAAGGAGTCGTCTTATTTAGCAGACCCTATGACAGCTGTGATGGTATTAATAGCAGTGAGGATGGTGGGTTTTCTGGAAAGAATCACTGGTATCAGTCTCTTCTGCTATTTAGTTTTCAGTTGCCCATCACCAGCAATTCCCTCACAAACAAAAATTTTGAGTTCTATTTAAGTGTTTTAGCCTTAATTTGCATTTTGGTATTGCATTGTTTGTGTTTTTACTAGTAGAATTGCTTGGGCTCAACAAATTTGGTTTTACATGTCCTCAGAGGAATTGGGTGATTATTAGAAAAAGGCAGTTTACCCAGTTTGCTGGCAATTAACTTTCTCTGTAGGTAGCTGACTGGTATTAAAAAAAAAGTGATGGGAAAATTTGAGGAAGCATGTATATGGAGAAAGTGAAGAAGATTGGGGCAGAGCTAGAGGGTGAGGGAGAGGAAATAGCAGGTGAAATTTGTTTTCCACCTCTGTTGATTCTCAAACTTCTCGATTCATGGAGCACCAGATTAGCTAAAGAACTAATCACTTGCCACTGAGAGAAACTATGAAATTCAATCTCTGCATCTAGTGCAGATTTGATTGAAACAGTCATTCCATTTATGAGATCAGATACCTGAATCTCATAATCTAAAACATCTAAAAAAACTCATAATCTAAAACAGTGTGTATAGTCAAACTCTGAACAGTCTGCTGGTCAGATTGTGCTTTGACTTTGTATCCATTGCCCACATGAAGCAGTTAAAATTAACCGTCTCACTCAGTGCCTGAGTATTTCACCAGACTTTCAAGTTACTACTAGGTTGTGTTAAATCTATAAATATTAACAAGTAATTGAGAGGGTGGGGAAGGAGAGGAATAATGAAAAGGAAATAACTAATTTACATAAGACTTTTAATAGTGGGGAAAGAACTGGGTTTGCTCTATGTGTGGTCTTCTAGCTGTAGACTCTTTTCTGTCATCCTACATGTTTTTATCCTGTGCTCTCTGGGTTTTTTCTTTTTCCCTTTTTTCCTATTTTTGCTTTTGGTACTCATAACAGTAGTGACAGCTTATACAGAAAAAAAAAAATGATTCGCACAGAAATTTAAGTGCCTTAAAATGCTTTTTCCTTTAAAAATTCAATCTGATTATAAATAACTTGGTTGGAAACATGAGAGCAGAAATTCAGGAGCAATGCCACATTTCCATGACTGAGATCAAAATGCAAAAATACTTTTTCATTTACAGATAGAAATAACAAGTAGAATAGAATGATTTATGTTTTCTGGAGAATGAAAAGAAGCCTATTACGTTTAGGGGGAAGCTGTGATGATTTTGCTGTATCTTTTGTCCAGATTCTGAGAGTTTCTAAAGCACATCTTCTCTGCCAATCTTGCTTGATCTGAGAAACTCCCTTCTGTCTCAGTTGTGTATCTAGTTTCATTTTTACCATATTGCTTCCCACCAAGAGAAGTGACGAGCCTCCAAATTTGATTTGTGTTTAGCAAGGTGTATCAAGTCATATAGAGCAAATCAGTGCTTCTCTGTCTTTGTCTTTCTCACTTCCCATCCAGCTCACACACTTCACCAGTGCAATAGGAACAGAATCTTACTACATTTTAAACAGCTATTCACAAAAGAAAAGAGTCCAACATTAAAACTGCTGGGAACTTCAGACCAATATTTGAATTTGATGAAATACTAGATTTTATCACAGGTATATGTACACTTGTATTGAACACATTGTGAATCATGTTTTTATATATTACTTAGAAGGTGTCTTTTGAATTGGCTTCAATTTTCTTAAAAATGCTCCTTTGCAGCTAAGTTAAACCATGACTCCAAAGTCACTTTATCTTAATAGGTTTATATAGATGATCAGTAAAATAATTTCATTATGCTAAAGCTGTTAGAACATGAAAGAATTCAGGAAATGCTTTTGAATTAACTTAGATTTAAAATGGAACTTTTCCTAATGTAAAATGTAGTGGAAGTTCCTTAAATATTGTGTTGTGATTCTTACTGGAATCATTGCCCTTCCTGATATGTGGAGAGAGATGGGGAGGGTATAGAGAGAATAGTTTAGATGCATAGAACGAAAAGGTCTTATGTCTATGTTACTAAGCTTATTTCTCACACCAACTAAAAATATCTTAATGTTTGAGTTTATAGTCAATAATGTTTTAAAAAAATAGAATCTGAATAACACTGCTCAGTGATACCATATTCCACATGCACTTTACACGTGCAGTTGCTTGCAAGTGAGTGAAACTGAGATTGTTATGCAGCAGCAGCAGTCTTGACTTCAGTGGACACAGGGTGAGAATTCTTTGGCCGTCTTTCCTGCAGCTATAATCTCTGTATTTTGCCCCATTATGTCTGTAGTAGTTTGTAAAAGTTCAAAGTCAGTGGGTGAACACTGAGATAGTGATTTTTAATACAAACTGGAATAAATGAATTACAGAAGTTGTAGAAATTAAGAGGTTCCTTTCTTAATTGTTAGTCATGCCTTGAATTGATTAGCAATGTTCTGAGTTGTAAGTTTACAGCAGGATTTTCCATGGAAGAGAACAGATTTCTTTGTTCTAAGACTCCATTTGAACTAAGATGCATACGCAGTTTGGTTTCAAGTGAAACGTAAATGACTTAAATATTTAATTATTTTTTTCATTGAGGGAAATCTTTTATGTTTGCTTAAAATGTCAAACATTTCCCATCCCTTCATTTTTAGATGGAGAGTTTTTGTACGATAATCTCTCCTCATCTTGTTGCACACCCTGGCATACTGCACTGGAAAGCGTCTCTAATGGCACAGTGATTACGGCTTTAAAAAGTCTTTCCAGTGATATTTACAAAGTTTTGCTTTACATTTGATATGTTAATGAAAAGAGGTATCATTATTTATCATCCTATTAAGGAAGCTGGAGTTCTTATTACAAATGGAATATTAAGTAGAAGAAAGATCTTAGAGTAATTAATTACTTTGAAGTAAAAAGTTTTTTTATCTGATAACTTAAGACATGGAGTAAATAACTCTCCTAAACGTTTGTAAAAATCAGAGCTTTTAATATGTTGGATATTTGCCATATGTTGTAATGTAAAACTTTACTCTGTATGTGTTGATTTTGCTCTTCCTTTAAGGTAGGGAAATATATTCATTTCAGTTAAGATTCAAAATTAAAAGAACACTGTCAATTCTGATAAACCTACAAATTAACTTTTAATCAACTGACTGCCCTTCCTAAAGAATTCAAATAGGTTTTATTTCTTAAGAGGTAAAACATTCACAAGGTAATGAAGGTAATGAAGGTAAAATAGTAATGCAGTTTTATAAAATACTATTCAGAGGGGCTTCCCTGATAGCTCAGATGGTAAAGAGTCCATCAGCAATCCAGGGGACATGGGTTCAATTCCTGGGTCAGTAAGACCCCCCCTTGAGAAGGGAATGGCAACCTGCTCCAGTATTCTTGCCTGGAGAATCCCATGGGCGGAGGAGCCTGGCGGGCTACAGCCCACGGGGTCACAAAGAGTTGAACACGGCTGAGCGACTAACACAACCGCGTGGGCTTAGAGGAAAAGAGAAATTGATAGAAAAGATGAACTTAGGAGTCATAATGACTGACTTTTAGGAATACATCAGGTCACATCACTATGTTACTTTCCTGCTTGTAACCTTTAGTAGATTTCCACGGTCTTCCAGATAAAGTCCAAAGTCTTTAACTGGGCTTCAAGGTCCCTGCTAACCATCTATAATGTCTTATACTTGTAGCTGTATGTTTTCAACTTTATGCTTTGGCAAGACCAGACTGCTGATTTTATGTTAAGCTATACTGGGTATTTTTTGAGGACCTTTTTCATGTTGGTCTCTCTATTTAGAATTTATATTCATGTCTTCTTAGCCCAGTAAGAAAAAATTAACCTTTTTTAGTAAGTTGTTCCATAAACTGCATACCACATCAAACTTGGTCAGATGCCATGCCCAGCTAGAAACTCCCATAAACACTGTAGGTGTCTGTATCTATTTATCTAGATATCAGTGCAGTCTCTTACTGTTTTAGGATTGCCTGTTTGTATGTTTACTTTTCTAGAATGTAAGTTCTTTGAGAACAGCTACTTCGTACTGTTCATTTTTTTTATCCTTGATGCTAAACCCAATACATGATGGATGCTCAGAAATATTAAAGTACTAGATGTTTTGATCCTTCAGTAAGGAAGACACAGGGAAGTAGACCTTCAGATCTCATCTCTCTATTTCCACTGCCACTGTTCTAGAGCACACTGTCATCGTTTAGCACCAGACACATTGAAAAGCCTCCCAACTGGTTTTCACTCTCTAATTTTTTGTCTTTCAACTCCATCCTTAATCTGTTCTTCACACTACAGCTGTGGTTACCTTTCTAAATCTGAAATCTGATTATGGCACCCTCAATTTCCCAGTAGTCTCCAAATACTTTTAAAAGTGCCATATTGATATTAAGAGAAAGACAACTCTTTAATGTAATTTACAGTGTCATAAACGATGTCACCTTAGATTTCCAGTCTCAACCGTTGCTTTCTCTTGTCATAGTCTGTGCTTCAGCTATCCTGACTGGTTTCAGTTCCTAGACTTATGCATGTTAGTCTTTCTGACCTGAACATTCTCTCCTCCCCCTTCACGCTTACCTTGGTGCAGCACGATAATTCCTGCTCATCGTCAGGCTTTGGCTTCACAGCCTGTCGGATCGCTCTTTCTCTGCAAGCCTCAGTGAAACGCCTCTCTTCTGTGCTCACAGAGCATACCATGCTTCCCCACATCAGAGTTCTTTTCAGACTGTACTGAACTTGCCTGTAAACATGTCTGTCTCACACGTTATATAGTAAACTCCATAAACAGTAACAGCAGTGACAGTATTCTTAATAGATAAGTCAGGCACCATGTAAAATAAACATCACCTTATTTTACAAATGAGGGAAATAAGCCAAAGAAATCAAAGAGCTAGAAAATAGGCAAACTAGGATTCTAACCCAGGTCTTTCTAATTAGGCCAATACTCCTAACCACTATGACTTCTTGGAACTGATTTACCTTAGCACATTGATTGGCATATAGTAGGCTTTTTATAAATATCAGTTTAATGACATTGGTAAGACCAAGGAGGAGGTAATAAGAAAGACTTGAAGGTAGAATTTGGAGTATAAATTCATCTTTATAGCAGTGTTAAATGAGGAAAGGCTTCAAGGGTTGATGACTTAAAATTCAGAAAAGACATAGAAGAATGAAGGCACAGGCCAGAAAACTTACTCTGAGGAGAAGGATGACAGTGTGTGCAAAAAGATACACATGGTAAGAGGTGTTTAATAACAATTAGCTATTACCAAAAATGACTGATTTTTCATTGCTAAAAATGCATCATTTCCCTACTTTTAAAACCTTGTGAATCTGATGTTTATTACTAAAATAGTCAAAGAAAATGTTAATGATTTAGCAATGAAAAGTGTTATTTCGACTAGGTTATCTCTTCATAGAACATTGGCCAAATAGAATAGTTCTACTTTATGCTACTTCAGCATTTAGCCCTAGTTTTTCAGACTGGGTAAGTAGTATTTGTAGTAATTTTCTTAGATGATTTTGTAGAATAATTAAAGAAATAGTGTTTGTTAACTAACCTCTCCAAAGATAATCAATTTACTTTTAGCCTAACTTAATTAGTAAGCATTTCACATGGTAATTGTTTCATGGAATTGATTCATGCTACCATCTTTCTAACAAAGCAGATATACTCTAAACATGAGGCTATGTTCATCCAGGAACATTTCACAGTACTGAAGATGAAGCTGATCCTCAGAATATGACTCAGATTTATGCATTGCCTGAAATTCCTCGAGATCAAAATGCTGCAGAATCATGGGAGACCTTAGAAGCGGTATGTTAGAAATGGTTTTCCTTTTGGCAGCTGTGAGGCTTGAAAGTAAGTAATTTCCTCTTTCTCTTTCTTTTTAAGGACTTAATTGAACTCAGCCAACTGGTCACTGATTTCTCTCTCCTAGTGAATGTGAGTACATAACTGTTTTTGACTCAGAGATGTTGGATTAATAGAATAAGAGGCTTTTATCAATTACTAGACTTCTGATTAGAATTTTAATAGAATTTACAATTGCTAAGACTGGTATTGAGCCATGGACCGAAGTCTTAATTGTCCTCAAATCCCACTTCAATTAAAAAAATTTTCTTGAGCATTTTTTATATAGAATATACTGGGTATTAGGGTTCTGACAAGATTGGATATAGAAATAAGTGAATCCTGCTCTCTGCCTTCAGGGATTTACAGTGGGTGGCCATAAACTTGGACCTCACCAAAACTGAAATTTCAAGAATTATTGTTAAATGCAAAAATAAGGTATGAAAAGTATTATTGGCCCCAGGGAGAAGTGTTTAATTCCAAGGGAAAGTTGCAGGTGTCGTGGCATATTAAGAGTAGTGTCATGAGATAGGTAGCATTTTCTTGAGCCTTGGAAATTGAGTAAAATTTCCACAGGTGGGAATGAGGGGTGCAGTTGAAGATACCTAAACAAAAACATAGAGTAGAAAAGTGTATGGGCTTCCTGGGTGGCTCAGTTGGTAAAGAATCTGCCTGCAATGCGGGAGACCTGGGTTTGACCCCTGGGTTGAGGAGATCCCCTGGAGGGAGGGCATGGCAACCCACTCCAGTATTCTTGTCTGGAGATTCCCTATGGATAGAGGAGCCTGGCAGGCTGCAGTCTATGGGGTTACAAAGGGTTGGACACAACTGTCCTCAGGAATAACAAGTGTTAGCAATGTGACTAATGCATAAGGTACCATGGGTAAACGAAGCAAGGAGATTGAGATGCTATTGAAAGCCATAGCAAAGAATTTGAACTTTACTTTGTATATATTAAAGAGCCAGTAGATTTTTGAGCAGATAGAGCGTTGTGATAGTCTATGCTTCAGAAAGATCACTATTAGCAGTGTGAATAATTGCCCTGGGCGGGAGGAGATTATAGGTGGAAGGACTTTTGGAATCAATTGCAAGAGTTTCACTGAGTGCATGGCGATACAAATATTAATACAAAGGTTAAAGGCAGCCTAGAGGCATTTCTGAGGTCGACTTATGAGAAATTGGAGAAAGGTGGAAGAGTCAAAATAAATTAAGGCTTTATTCTACATAATTGGGTGGCCAGTGATACTGTTAACAAAGATTGGGGAACAAAAGTTGATTTGGTGGGAAAGATAGAACAGATTTTTTGTCATTATTTTTGTAAGTTACTCTTATTTTTCCTTCCCAGGAATTATGGGAAAGGGTGTGTGTGTGTGTGTGTGTGTGTGTGTACACAGGTGCATGTCTGTTTCTGCATATGCTTCTGTCTGGGTTTAGTTCATTGTTCTTGATCAAACCATGAGTTAGGGGTTGTACATCTTTGAATTATGGTTTCCCTGACATCTGACTTTAAATTATAGGACGTTCCGAGGTCACACAATCTGAGGTTTGGAATTGGAAAGGACTTATAAGGCCTGTTAATCTGATGGTTCTACTCTTGCTCAAGCCTCTCAAATAGATGATCTTTTGCCTCCTTTTGAACAATCACAGTGCAGAGATACACTCATTCCATTTGGAGGCTCTAACTCATAGAAGTTTTTTTTCTTATGTAAAGTCAACTTTGCCCTTAATAACTTCCCTCTGGTACTTTTGCCCTCTGAAACCTTGTCCTGAAAAAGTCTTTTTTCCTTATAAAAGTTTTTCACCACAACCAACATAATACTCAACAGTGATAAGCTGAAAGCCTTTCCACTAAAATCTGGAGCAAGACAGGGAGGCCCACTCTCATTACTTCTATTCACCATAGAATTGGAAAGCCCAACCATGGGAATCAGACAAGAAAAAAGAAAGGTATCCAAATTGGAAGAGAAGACGTAAAATTGTCAGTGTATGTAAATGACATAATTCTGTGTTGATGTACATTTAGGGTACTCCCACGTCTTGGCTATTGTAAAGAGTGCTGCTGTGAACATTGGGGTGAATGTGTCTTTTCAAATTATAGTTTTCTTCAGATATATGCCCAGGAGTGGTATTTTTGGATCATATGGGAACTCTATTTTTAGTGTTTCTAGGAACTTCCATACTGTTTTCCAGAGTGACTGTACTAATTTACATTCTCATCAACAGTGTAGGAGGATTCCCTTTTCTCCACACCCCCTCTAGCGTTTGTTGTTTATAGACCTTTTAATGATGACCATTCTGACTGGTATGAGGTGGTACCCCATTATAGTTTTGATTTGTGTTTCTCTAATAGTTACAGACATTGAGCATATTTTCACATGCCTATTGGCTATCTGTATGTTTATTTCAATCTTCTGCCTGTTTTTAGATTGGATTGTTTGTCTTTTTTGTTATTGAGTTGTATGCACTGTTTGTATATATTGGAAATTAATCTCTTGTTGGTCACATCATTTGCAAATATTTTCTCCCAGTCTGTAGATTGTCTTTTTTTTTTTGAGTGATTTTCTTTGCTGTGCAAAAACATATAGGTTTGATTAGACCCCGCTTGTTTATTTTTGCTTTTATCTCTATTGCCTTGGGAGCCTGACTTAAGGAAAGATTGTGTGACTTATGCCAGAATGTTTTGCCTGTGTTCACTTCATGGTGTCTGTCTCGCATCTCAGTCTTCATGCTGTGTTGAGCTTGTGTCTGTGTGTGGTGAGAGACTGCTCTGACCTCACTGATTCACACGTGGCTCCAGCACACTTGCTGGAGAGACCGTCTTTTTCCTTCTGTGTGTTCTTGCCTCCTTCGTGTGGGTTTATTTCTGGGCTCTCTAGTCTGTGCCCTTGATCCATGTGTCTGTTTCTGCGCCAATACCGTGCTGTTTTTGTTACTGTAGCTTTGTCGTAGCGTCTGAAGTCTGGGAGAGTTGCGCTCCTGCTTTGTTGGGTTCTTTTGGCCGTGCTAGGTCTTTCTCTCCTTGCGGCCTGCAGGGCTGCTCATTGCGGTGGCTCCCCTGTTGAGGAGCTCAGGTTCCCGGTGCTCAGGCTTCAGCACTTGTGGAGCCAGGCTTAGCCGGCCCCTGCATTTGGGATCGTCTCAGGACGGGATCGAGCCTGTGTCCCCTGCACTGCGAGCAGAGTCTGAACCCCCGGGCCACCGGAGAAGCCCTCTGGCTTTCTTCCTTGTCTTCAGGATGGTTTTGGCAATTCTGGGTCTCTTATGGTTCCATATAAATTTTAGGATTATTTGTTGTAGTTCTGTGAAAAATGTTATGGGTAGTTTGAGAGCATTAAGTCTACAGATTGCTTTGGGTAGAACGACCATTTCAACAATATTAGTTCCTTCAGTCCAGGAGCATGGGTCTGCTTCTTTCAACCATCTTTCCTTTACCAGTGTTTGATAGTTCTCAGCACATAAGTCTTTCATCTCCTTGGCCAAGTTTATTATGCCTAAGTATTTTTTTATGTGATTAAAAGGGATTTTTAAATTTTAATCTTATATCCTGCTACCTTCATGAATTCATTTGTCAATTCTAGTAGTTTTTATGTGGAGTTATTAGGGTTTCTATATACTACTCAGCTATAAAGAAGAATGGAATAATGCCATTTGCAGCTACATATATGAACCTAGAGATTATACTAAGTGAAGTCAGAAAGAGAAAGACAAATGCCATATGATATCAGTTATACTTGGAACCTAAAATCTAACACGAATGAACTTATTTCCAGACCAGAAGCAAACTCACAGACAGACAGAACAGGCTTGTGGTTGCCACAGGGGCAGCGGGCAAGGGCGGAATAGACAGGATTTGTGATTAGCAGACGCAAATAATTTGTATTATGTATAGAGTAAATAAGCAGTGAGGTCCTACCCAATCACACAGGGAAATATATTCAGTATTCTTGTACTAAAACATAGTGGAAAGGAAAAAAAAATTTTCAGCTTTTTGAGATCAGCATTATCCTTCCTCACCCAACCACACTTCAGCATATTTTCTTCTCTTAAGAACCCTTGATTCTCTAATGTTTTTTCTAGAGTCTAATTTCTTAGCTTTTCAGTACTAGTTATTTACTCTAGTTTGTGGGTTTATTTCTCAAAATGTAACACCTAAAATTGAGTACAGTAAATTGTTTGAAGCATTTTCCTTTTTTATGCTTCTGAATCAGAAGCAGCAAAATGCTCGAAATTTCTGAGTTAGGTATCTGTACAATCTGTTAATATAGTTGTGTATGAAAGAGAATTATATGATAATAAAAATATTTGTTTTTATAATCATGATTTATTCAATTTTTATAACTCAGAATCTGATATAATGCAGTTTGTAAAATCTGTACATGTAGGGTTACACAGATATTTACATTTGCTGGAAATCATTAATATTTACACAATAAAATGGGTGAGTTACAATGTATGTAAATTATACCTCAAAGCTGATATAAAAAGAAAACTAAACATGTACAAGTTCTCATTCAAAATGAATGCATTTCTCTTCCAATGAGATAGGCACATGAAAGGGAATTTAAGGGTTTGTGGCAGTTTAGCAAGTTATATTTCCTATTAGGTTATGTAAGCAGCTCCTAACCCCTAATCTAAGGAAGATTTGTACAAGAAAACTTTGGGTATAACCATGGCTCTATACAGACGTCCTCTTTATAATAGTCTGTGTAAGGACATGAGACAGAATGCTGTTAGGCAAAAGCTCAAAGCAGAGCCCCTGATGACTGTTCCCAGAGTGACTGCGTCCTCATGACCACATGGTCACGGACTCAACAGAAACTCCATTTAGACACGATACGATTTGGAAACATAACTAGAGTGACCACATCCTTTCATTATCATCACATGGACATGATAGTATTTAGGCTAATTAACCATGTATTTATGGAATGCTATCTGTGTGCATAGTATTGTGCTAAACTCAGTACAATGAAGAATAGAGAATAGTATTAAAAAAGAACCTATAGGACAGTCAAGATAGTTAAACAAAATTGTGAATGTGCTTAATATCATTGAATTATACACTTAAAAATTGTAAATTTTATATATACTTTTACCATAATAATACTTGCAAAGCCATTAAGAGATCCATGTATATTTCAGTAAACGTTAATTAATATCTACTAGGCACCCTCTTTTTTTTCTTCAGCCTTATTGCTCAAGTGCCCTCTTCTGTTCCTGCAACTGTGGAACCAGCCCTGTTTCTAGTCAAGAGGAATTAGGAAAACTCTGGGCCATTTGCTCAATAGCTTGTCACTATTGCTGCTCATCCAGTTTTGTCTCTACCTTTTGCCACATCCTGTATGGCTTTTATACTTAAGTTTTACTCCCAATGCATAAAAACTGGGTTGTAATTGATTAGATCAGATTCTTCCGTTTATTATTTATGTGACCTTCAGGATGTTAACAACACTTAGCTTTGTAAATGGATGGGAGGACTCCCTGAGATATTGTCTTATTTCCCACTCCCTTCCCTCCCCTTGGAGGAGGAAATGCCAACCCACTCCAGTATTCTTGCCTGGAGAATTCCATGGACAGCGGAGCCTGGCGGGCTGCAGTTCCCGGGTAGAGTAGGACACGACTAGGCGACTAACACACACACCACTGCCTGCCCTGACCACTGCCTTCTTGCCTTTGTTCCTCCCTGTTTGATTCCCTCTTTGCTTAGGGTTCTACTTTTGCCACCTCCAGTACCTTTAGACATTTTAGTACTGTAGTTCCTATAGTCCCTTTCCTATTACTGGAGTCCCCTGATGTCAACACCATACTTCCCCACCCTGCTTATTGCCTACTCTAGGCCAGAAGACTCTGCCTGTGTATCATAGCGTTTGTCTGTTTCTGGGCTTTTCTGTGTATGAGCGCATATAATTAAGGTGAATATAGTATCTATCTTTGGAGCTCAGAACCAAGATAGCTTGGTTGGTTGGGATCTAAGACTGAAGCTGGCCTTGAAAGCTGGCTGGAATTTAGAGAGAGAAGAATAAACGGACGTCCCTGGAGCTTTGGCGTTAGTCTCCTAGACCTGCGTCTTCCCAGGCACAGCAATAGACCGCACCACTACCAGAACAGCCCTCACGGCTTCGACTTCAAACGCCCAAACTGCATTCTACTTGACAAATATTTACTTAATCAATCACATTTCCCCCTAGAATCTTAGGTGCTCTTATAACTGCTTATTAAGATTCTGTTGTTTTTTTCAGGCAGGTAAGGAAACCTAAGTCAGTGTTAAATCCATAAACATATTCTTAGATTCTTTGGAGAATTGTTTTCCTTTAAAAAGGAAAAGTCTATTCATTACTCTAGTTTGAGAAAACTACAGTGATCCTCATAAATGGTTTAAATCATTGTTAAAGGGTTACTGAGAACAGTATGAGGTGTCAGTGTTAAGTTGATGGTTGTCAGATTTGGGAGGCCTAGGTCAATGAAAGCAAACATAAGTAAATCAGAAGCAAAAGGGAAGGTTGGTAGATAGAGGTGAGGAGGCTTTATTGTTTGGGGCTTGGTGTCCTGTAGTGGAATAAAGTTGTGTATGTATGGTTTGGCCCAGCATAAAAAGCCAGGGTCCTGGTGGACAAACAGGGTCCAGATTGAGCTGTGAGTGGAGTCTAGTTTGGCATTTATCTGGGGTCGAAGAGGGATTCTCTTATTTTTTCTGTGAATTTAAAAAAACCCTCAAAAGTAAGCAGTCTGTATGTTGATGTGATCGTGCTTACATGAGTTTATACATGTGTGAGAACTAATCAGAGGATGTGCCCTGAGCATTGGTTGCATATTATATGTAAATTCCATAGAAATAAAGTTTTCTAAAAATGGGAATATGTTCCTCTGTCCGGTAGTGAGTTCTTGTCCCGGGAGGTGTTTGAGCTGAGATTCAGTGGCCGCTTGTCAGAAGCTGTGCAGTGGGGCTTCACACAGCCGAGAGGAGATGCACTTCCACCCGGAGTCCCTGTTTCTGTTGTGTCAGCACAGGCGTTGCCACTTTATGTAGAAGTCTTTATTGATATGTGTGATGTGAAACATTTTAACTTGTCATGTATTGAAGTGTACAGGTGTCAGACATGGGGCAGTAAGGTCATTCACTGCTCCCCAGTGCATATCACAAATGGAACAATTTTATGGCAGATCAAGCCATATTATATTTTTAATTCCTAAAACATAATAACTTGTGTTTATTGGATCAAGGGCATTTAACTCCTGAGACAGATTTGTCTGTTTTAAACTGAATCTTCAAAGAAAATAAGTTAGAAAGGCTTTTTGGTTTGATTTTGTTTTTTTCCGTCAAACCTCACATGACACGTAAATACTTATTTGGATGTTTTTCCTCCTGGAAAGGAGATTCATTTGGAGAATAATATGTTTGTATGTTAGAATGGATTTTAGTGTGAGATGCTTTTTCTTATAAAGGTGCCACCCCTTTCTTGTCTAATAATTAAGTCACCCTCTTTTTTTCATACAAGTGAATTTGTACTTTCAACATGGTTTATCAGATGCTATTAATGAACCGCTATTAAGACTGCAAGGCTGCAGTACCCAGGGCTCTGATTACAGGAATTAAAGTAGTGTGTATTGGCTGACTGCTGCTCCCCAGCAGGAACGCTCACTCATAATTCCTTTGCATCTAGTCTCAGCAGGAGAAGATTGACAGCATTGAGGACCATGTCAACAGTGCTGCTGTGAATGTTGAAGAGGGAACCAAAAACTTGGGGAAGGTGAGATTCTGCTCCTGCTGACAAATCAATGGGGCTCTGGCTCTCAGGAGTCTCTAGTATTAACCCAATTGATCTGCTCTCTTTAATGTTGAGGGAACCAGCAATTAAGAAAATAAGGAAGAAATGACACATAGGTAGTGCAGGAAATCAATGGTGGTTGTAATATTCTACTCTAAGATTCCTTTTGTTGGGAGAGAGATTTTTTCAGAGAGAGAGTAAACTGAAGCCCTGCTATATGGCCCTTGGTGTTACAAGAGTATTTTCAGGGTCGGGGAGAGGAGTAGAGAGGGTTGGCAGAGCCCAGTAGGGGCCACAGTTTAGGGACACAACAGCACGCGTGGTGTGGGTCCATATATTTCCCACAGAACGTGGCTTTTGACCCAGGTACATAGCATGGAATAATCTGTGTGCAACATAAAAGCTTTGGGAGTATCTGTGGCTCCTGAAACTGTTTAAATAAGCTAGCTAGCTAGTTAGTGGATTGTTTTGCAAGTAAAATCAATCTGTAGCAGTCCACTCTTTGTAGCTCGTTTCTCTGAGTTCTGAGATCTGGAGCAATTAGAGTACCTGTGGAATACTTTCTCCCCTCCCCTGACCCCAGAACAATCTCTAAGGTTAATTATGTGCCTCGAGTTAAAGAGGCATTGCCAGGAGTAATGAGAGGAAAATGCACATCACCACAGGGAGATATTCTCAACTCAATCTCTAAATTGAATTTTTTTTTTTTACAGGCTGCAAAATACAAGCTGGCAGCCCTGCCGGTGGCAGGCGCACTCATCGGAGGAGTGGTGGGGGGCCCGATCGGCCTCCTCGCAGGCTTCAAAGTGGCAGGGATTGCAGCTGCACTTGGGGGTGGGGTGCTGGGCTTCACAGGTGGAAAACTGATACAAAGAAGGAAGCAGAAAATGATGGAGAAGCTCGCTTCCAGCTGTCCGGATCTCCCCAGCCAAACTGACAAAAAGTGCAGTTAAAAACGGTGCCAACACATCTATCCTAATGACGACCTTCGCTGCTGTTGGACACCCAGTCAGCTTTCAGAACATGATTATATCCAAATAGTGGCTGTAGATGCTCAAGTGGGATTGAACTGTGATAAGAGGATGCATTTTGTTGTTTGCTGGGGTATTAATGGAGATGTGAGAAATTGAGGAGCCTGGACTGAGGGTGTACAATATTTGTCAGATAAAGTTTAAGAACTGCCAGGGAGCAGATTTTCTACTTGGAAATGTGAAAACCAAACCTATAACTTTGATCAGGACTTGTGATCTGTGGACATGTTGGGTTATGGAAGGACTGTTTTCAGAATAGTTTCTTCCATGACCCTGACTTGGAGACTCCAAGGCTAAGCATATTGTATATATGCTTCTTTAACTCCTAAATATACATTATTTAGGCAGTTTAGCAGAGAAAAGACTGGAAGTTCAGGAGTTTTTCACATCAAATAGGGAAATCAGGATCTAGCAAGGGGCCCAAGTGTACTACATAATGGAGTCCATTTGGTGAGCCCTGTTGCCGTTTGGTCTAACACTGTTTTCCAGTAAAGGAAATAAATATTGTAAGAAAATGGAAAAAGAGGCCCAATTTCTCCTTCAGATATCTTAATTTGTGACAATAGCTTCTTCTCTGAAATCTTTCTTCTGCCTCTCTGTAAATAAAGAACAGAGTCTCAAGTCAGCCTATCTCTTAACACCTCAGATATCTCGTCCTCTCTGCCTTTCAACTTTGTAATTTTGAAAAGTTCTTTGACTAATGGGATGAATTCTACCCATGTGTAATGAAGACTTTTCTCATAGTCTGTTTTTTCTCTTTTGTATTGTAGAGAGAGGTGTCAATCTTCAAACGTTGTTAGAGTTTGAGCTAAAAAATAAGCAAGGCGGGGATAACCAGATCATTTCTTGGGGCATCTTACAATTTCAAGGGGCTCATGTACTTGCCCTGCAGCGAGTCTTTGACCCTATTTCTTCTGTCTTTCAGCTGGCAATTGGAAGAGCTAAGAACTAGCTTTCTACCTCACTTTCATTACTACCATCCTTTTCCCTAGGTTTTACTATCTCCTATGCTTTCCTTCACTTTGCGCAGCTGTATTTCTTCCCGAGAATAGCATTCATGCTTGCCTTTTCTCACAGTCAAGATTGATGATGGACAAGGCCTGGCGCCAAGACTCAGTCCTGGTGGAGGATTTGTGGTGCTAATTTCAACACTTGACATGGATAGCAAGCATGACCCAGCCCAACCCAATGTCTGTCTCAAATAGCAGGGAAATTTTAAATTTAGAAAAAAAGAATTTAAGATTATGGGCAGCCTCATCCTGTACCCTCAACTCATCTGAGGTAGGAAGGAACCACCTTTTGCCTTGTTCTTTATTCTTTTCTGAGGACAGAGGAAAGGGCACCTATACCACAAAAGATGAGCTCTCTGCTCAGGAACCAGATGGATTCATCAGGTGGTTGAATGGTTTATCACTTCTCTCTTGCTGAGTTTACTCTTAATAACTTTTATTGATTGCTGTCTTTTACTTGTATGTCTAATCTAAAGAGACCTTTCTCTTTCATACTTTTTGCTTCTCACCAATGAATTCCAATGAGGCAACACACCATTTCTTATCATTATTGAATAACTGGAAAACATATTGCTCCCTGCTGACTTGTATCTTTAGTATAATACTGAGAAGGGAGTACTTTGAATAAGCATCAGATTCTGATCCAGTATTTGATATTAGATACCTGTGAGTTTGGGATAATTACTTTTGAGCTCCACCTTTTTATGTTTTCTGATCCTTGCTGTCCCTTTAACACAGGATGTTCAAGCCAGAATGAGGATCAGAATTGCCCAGGGTGCTAATTTAAAACAGAATTCCTATATTTCATTTCCATGGGTTCTAATAATAGCCATTCTCATCCTGTCAGCTAAAATTATAAATTTAAGATATAGTTACATCAAGATTCAGCTGAACTGCTGACTTCTGTAATTTCTAGTATTCTACCCTTCAGCATAGCCCAGTCTTCATCACTGCATATTATTCCTATTCTGCCGATGTAAAGTTGGCTAGCTCACCATCTTAACAGCACTGGGGATTCTTTATACTGTCAGGCTGGTTTTACTCAAGACCTGGTGGAGGAAAGAGGCCTATTGTTGACCCTCACGTTTTGTTTTGGGATCTTTCCTTTTCACTGAGCCAGTGAGGGACATCAATGTATGTGCTCATATAGGCCTTGAATTTTTTTTTTTTTTTTTACTGCTCATCAGGATGGGAATATTACTCTAGGCAGAGTAATATTTTATACTTAGGTAAGTTACAGTCCTTTTTTAAAGTTTTATAATTTAAAATTATTTAGAAATTGTACCTAATTTCCTCATTAAGAGAGCCTAATAGCCAACTTTTTGTAGAAATTTCTATAAGTGTTTAATCAACTATGAATGATATACCTATAAACTGTAATGTGTTAGAAGTATAAATTAGTCAGTATGACACAGAAACCAGTCTTAAAATTGAATTTAATGCCTTGTAGTATCAGATTAAATTTATCTTCTATATGATTCATGTATTATTTTTACTGCAGCAAGTTAGAAGTAAGGAACATTTTAAGTTCTTAAAATTTACAGAGGCTTATTTGGAGACAGGCAGCATTCCTAAAGCCTTGTTGATATAATAATCTGAGAATTTCTCTGTCGAGCAGAGACTGAAACTTTTTGGTTGTAATCCATAGTAAAAAAAAATGCATTAATATCAAAACTCAGCATATGCATTATGGAACAATACTTTTTGTGCAGTGTACTTTGTTTTTTATTGTTTTGGTTTTTAAAATATGCTAGTTGTAACCTATGAAATTGATTTCATAATCTACCAATAGGTGTTGACATTTAGTTTCTAAAAAGAAAAAAAAAAACCTTATAGAGGAACTGATACTTATGGAATATTTTCTGTTGGTCAGGCACTTCACTAGGCATTTTATAGGTAAGGAAACTGGGGCTCAGAGAAACTAAATAATTTACAGACGGTTATTCAACTGCAAAAAGGTGAAGCCAGGATGTAAACTAGGTCTGTTGAACTACAAAAACTTCTGTACTCTCATACTGTGCTGCTTCTGTATATAAAATTGTGATGGGCTAGTCACTCTGCTTCACCCAAGCACCCCTATATTCTGTAAGGTAGGCTTGGTTTGAAGTTACATGTGCCATTCATTTACACTTTTCTTAAAATCTTCTTTTTCCTCACCAAGTGTCCAGCAACTTCAGAGTGTTTAATGGTTCAGACAGTAAAGAATTTGCCTTCAGTGTAGGAGACCAGGGTTCGATTCTTGGGTTGGGAAGATCCCCTGGAGAAGGGAATGGCTACCCACTCCAGTATTCTTGCCTGGAGAACTCCAGGGACAGAGGAGCCAGGTGAGGGCGCAGTCCTTAGGGTCACAAAGAGTTGGGCACAGCTGAGCGACTGACAGACACACATGCGATGCAGAAGTGCATGGCGCTGAATCTGGTCCTCAGGCTGTGAATGTGTTTCCATCCCACACGCATCCTGCATATTTCCTTATCTTTGCGGGTCATAGTCATCACTTAAGCAGTGTTTTTTATATTGAATCATAAAATAAACTCTGAAGTAATGTTTTAAAGCAATTATACCTCATAGAGTCAAGTTATTATCCTTTACCATGGTACCCTTGGGAGGCCATGTACTTATGTAGTGATGGTAGTATTACTTAGAATATTTTTGAAACTTTTCTTTTGGAATTGGCTTTAAAGACATTTTACAAATCACGTAAAAAAGCCACCTCAGTGTTTATTGGTCACAGATTATGCTCCTTTTTCCTTACAGTGTCTTCTTTCTTTAGTTTTGCTTGTATTCTGCTGGCTCAGCTCTTCTACCCACCTGTGCAGGAGCCAGTACCCCAAGAAGCCCCAGAGGATGGGTGTGTTGGCCAGAGCTCCAGGAGCAAGAGTTTTAGGTTTCCCTGAGACTGAGTGCTGGGCAGGGAGGGTCCCGTGAGCTCAGAGGCCTCCTCTGTGCGCTGCCTGAGCGCCGCAGGCCATTTGCCTGGCAGTGCGGACTGAAGCATCTGCGACTCACAGAGGCTGTGGAGGCTTAAATAGAAACGCTCGTGTGCCGCATTTCTCTCCAGTGAAAGTCACAGAAGCCAAACCACGCCATGCTTTGTTCTCAGGGTCCCCTCTGTCCTTCATTGCTGCTACTCAAGAGCTCTGGGAAGAAGGACGCAAAAGGACTTGGGGAAACGGTTCTCCTGTGAAACAGCATTTTCTCTCTTGTGATGAAGTATGACATGGTGGTGGCTATCAGTGCTCGAAATGTTAGTTAGTGAGAGGCCTAATAAAAAACAGGGAAGCTTCCCCACTAGCCTAAATTAATGTAAACAGTTCAGGTTTTGTGTTTTTATCAACACGTCATGTTTCTAACAGGAGTTGCTTACTATTTATACTGGTTAATTTGACACCATTTTACAAAGACACTTCTTGGATATTATAAACAGTCAATGGTAAAAGATCCATATATTATCTATATTACTGCCCTCAGAAATTATTGGTATAGATAAGACAAACATCTATGCAATATTAACAAAAATAAATTTATTTAAAAACCATGAAAGGTGTCAAAGGCAAGTGATTTCCCCAAGGTTAAAGCTAGTTAACACAAAAGTTAGAATTATAACCGTAGTCCAACAAAAAAAATCCTCAAATAATTTAACTGAGTTTCTGTTATGCCATATCAAGTTGCTTGCTGAAGTTTGTGGTCTTTCAGACCAACATTAACATTCCAAATCAGTCAACAGCTCTAGTGGAAAGAGAATTCGCTGGGGAATCAGGTCAGGGTTCTAGTTTTGTCTTTGTCTATTGTAGTAAGCTTTTACCCAGGGTGGCTGCTTTCTCCCATTCTCTAGCCAGGGATTCCCCCAACCTAACATTCTCCATTCTTTATATTTAGCCTCCTCCTGGGTCTTGTCAACTACTTGAATATTAG